TTCTTCCCCTTTGATCTGCATTTCCTCCCTTTTCCAATACTATGTATGAATTTCTGATTTCTCAACATCTACTTTTTTGATTCTAGCTGTCACAGTGAGTATAAAGTGGTATGCTATTGTGGTTTTCATTTTCTCAATGATTGATGATATCCAGTACCTTTTTGTGTATGGTACTGGGGCTTGAACTCAAGAGGAGCTTGCTAGGCAATTGCTCTACCACTTGAGCCACACCTCCAGCCCTTGAATACCCTTTCAAGTGCTTACGAACCATTTATTTCTCTTCTTTGGAGATAAGTCTATTCAAGTTCTGTTTTAAAAAATTATATTATTTATATATTAGTCAGTTTTAAGTGTTCCTTGCATATTTGTGATACAAGCCCTAATCAGATATCCTGGCCAATTTGTGTGTGTGTGTGTGTGTGTGTGTGTGAGAGAGAGAGAGAGAGAGAGAACTGGAGCTTGAACTCGGGGTTTTACCCTTGCTAGGCACATGTTCTACTGCTTGAGGTATGCCTCCAGTCCTTTTTACTCTCGTTATTTTGGACATAGGGTCTTGCTTTGTGCCCAGGCTAGCCTGGTCACTATCTTCCTGTTTTATGCTTCCTATCGTAACTAGGATAACAGGCACAAGACACCATGCTGTTTTCTTTTTTTTTTTTTTCTGTTGAGATGGGACTCTCAAACTTTTTTTGCCAGAACTGGCCTGCAACTGCAGTCCTTTGGGATCTCACCTTCACACAGCTTGGAATGATAGGCACATTGCCCAGCTGTTGGCCGAGATAGGGTCTTATGAACTAATGGCCTGATTGACCTCAAACTTTGATCCTTCTGATCTCCACTTCCCAAATAGCTATGATTACAGGCATGAGTCACCAGCACTTTTATACAAAGACAATTCAATGGAGGAAATGTAGCCTTTTCAACAAATAGTGATGGAACAACAGAGAGAGAGAGAGATGGGGGAGAATTAATATTAAAATAGAGAACTATCTAAACTCACCTCATACAAAAATTAACATGGATCACACTTAAATTTACTCCAACACCAGCCAATTGAAAAGTAAACATTGCATATTCCTGATGACAATTGAGGGCAAAAAAGAGGCTTACACTTTCTGAGGATTCCGTGTTTTAGTTCTACTCAAGATTTTGCATATATTATTACACTAAAGTTGGAAATTCGAGGCAGACATCTGTCTGTCAACTATGAAGGATTAATGAGGGGGTGTGTCTGCCAATTAAACTGATTCATTTAGTGATTATCCCCAAGTTTTGTAGCAGATTCTGCCTAGGGAAGAAGCTCAAGAATCGAAAGAAGTCTTGAAAACAAAGTACATTATCCTGGCTTCTTCAGTGTAAAGATGCCTGATGGCTTCACACACAACATTTGTGAAATGTGGAGAAGACTACACAAAGTCTCGGAGTCTCCTGATGTCTTACCCTACATAAGGTTTGTATGTCTGGTGTGAAAGCATAATTTCAACACAATCAACAAAGTTTTGCAGATTGTGTTCCTTTTGCACATAGGGACAGTTTTTCAATACTGAAGTCATAGTGCACTTTTAACAGCTTTGTTCTTCCTAAAAAGAAAAATATATATATAACCTCAAGTATTTTCACATTTCATTCACACAATTGTCCTTTTAAAAGAGTCGTATACTTTCAAATACACATACTGTTACTTCTTTGACCACTATTTGTAGCCAAATTGTTCATGTTCACTTCCTCGAAGTGTTTCAATTAATATCTTTGTAAATACAATTGCATTTCTCTCTGAAGATGAAAATTCTGAGCTCATATAGTGCTTGCCATTGGTGGGACAATTAAATGGAAATATTGAAGGATATAACCAATTTCTGAGTCATGAATGGTATGTTAGACAGAAAAGCACAGAGAGATAGACAAAGAAATGGCTCATGGTTAGCACAAGTTTATTCAGGAGAAGAAACCTGCGGAGGGGGTTTCCAGCAAGAGAGCTAGAGCCTGCTGCTGCTTACAGACTGGGGATTTTATAGGAGAGGAAGGACCTGGTAAAGAGGGAGTTCTATTGTGGCTTGTCCATTGTTCATTGCTAGGGGTTGCTAAGGAACTGGGCCTTGTGTCTTAGTAACCAAGACATTTCAGTCATGGACCAATGACAAGAATAGTTGCTGCTGGCGTGGGGGCGGGTCAGGAGCCAGGGCTTGTGCTGGCACAGGTGCTGGGAACTTGTAGGGCCCTCTCTATTGGAACCAAAAACTTTAGGGTCAAGCAGAGTTTAAGATGACCTCTGTGATGTCAAGTTGAGACCTAACAGGACTAGATAGTTGAATAGAAATAAGAGGGTGCAACTGAACGGTCTTTAGTACTCTGATTTTCTTTAATATGCTTCAGTTCCCAATACATATCAGCATCACTTTTTTTTTTCCTTCGAATGTCTCTTAAATTACCAACAGCTCCCAAGGGATGGGGATTTTGGTCTGCTTTGTTGGCTGTTGTATCTCCAGCGCTTCCAACAGTGCCTGACCTACAGCAGGCACTCTATAAATGGCGAATGAAAGGGTAAGGTGGTGAGAGAAGGAACGAAGCCAGGAGACCGTAATGGCCGGGCGTCGGGCCGTCAGCGTCCCGTTCCCGGCAGCGTCCGTAGGTCCAGCCTGAGCGGTTTCCCAGCGAGGACCGGCACCGCGCATGCGCAGGTCCCGCTCCCAGTCATTGAACCCCAGGCCCCAACAAGCTGCGCAGGGGGCCTGGGGTCCCAACCGCTCTTCCGAAGCCTCACAGGGCTCCGCGGTCCCGGTACTGGTTCTCAAGGCTGGCATAGGAGAAAAGGGCGCGGCTGAGACGGCTGGAAACCGCCCGTGGCGTGGCGGCACCCTCCCCTGAATTCCCAGCATGTTTTGCGCGGAGCCGGACTCCAACTCCCAGCAGCCCCTGCGCGGAGCCCCGCCTCCTGCGCGACCGTGGCGGCGCCTTTGTGAGCGCAGCTGGCGGCGCGAGATCGAGCCCCGGGCCCGGCCCGGCCTGCGCGACCGCGCCCAGCGAGCGGCCGCCCGCCGAGGACGCGGTGAGGAGTGCGGCCGCGCCACCCTGTGTGTCGCCATGGGTGTGACGTTGTGGAAATACGTGTGACAGCGTGGAGGACTGTGTGGGAGAACGCGGGGCGGTGAGGGGGGCATCTGTGTGACAGGATGAGACCTTGATACTGTGACAGGTTGTGAGAATGTCAGGTCTGTGACAGTATGAGATGGTGCCACCCTGTGGGAGCATCTGCGACAGTGAGTCCCTGCCATCATGTGTGACTAGGCTGGTGACAGTGTGTGGGACTGTGACACTGTGTGACACCGTGAGAGACTGTGAGAATGTCTCACAACGTGAGGCCATGTCGCCTTGTGTGAGCAGGCCTGTGGCTGTGGGACTGTGATGCTGTATGGCTGTTTGTGACATTGTGTGACAGTATGAGACCATGCCACTGTTCAGGGAACCTATGACAGTGTGCGAGACTGAAGTTTTGAGAGTATATGACACTGTGAGTGACAGTATGTGACCACACCACTGTATGTGAAGGCCTATCACAGCGTGTGACACTGAACGTGTGTGACATTGTGTGTCACAAAATGAGACCATGCCCCAGTGGGTGAACAGGCCTGCGACAACGAGAACATGTGTGGGGGACTATGTGACAGCACCTACCATCATGTATGACAGTGCCCGTGACGGTGTGAGGGACTGTGACCCTGTGACAATGTCTGAGACCATGCCATTGTGTATGAGACCCTGTGACCCTTCGAAGCTCCATGACTGTGTTTGAGAATGTGACAGTATGAGACCCTATCATAGTGTATGGGACACTCTGAGACTGTGTGACTGTGTGGACAGTCTGACTGTTGTGGTGGAGCAGGTGTTTAAACTTAGGCATTTGGATCCCTAGGTGTAGGATTTCTTCTAAGGTATTATTGTTGTGATGGTGATAGTGGGATTTCAACTTAGGGCCTTGCACTTACTGGCATCCACTTGAGCCAGTCTCCACTCATTTTTTGCTTTAGTTTTTCGGATGGGTCTCCCACTTTTTGCCTGGGTCAGCCTCTGACCTTGATCCTATCTATCTCTCCCATGTAGCTGGGATTACAGACATGACTACCACTTCTGGCTTGTTCTTTTAGATAAGGTCTCACTAACTTTTTAAAATTTTTGGCCTGGGGTGACCTCAAACTGCTGTCCTCCTATCTCTACCTTCCAAGTAGCTGGGATTACAGATGTGACCCAGCATATTACATCTTTCTTTTCTTTATTCTTTTGGTAGTACTGGGCCTCACACTTACTACAGAGACACTCTACCACTTGAGCCACTCTGCCAGCCTGCATACTACATCTTAAATGCTTTATTTGTGAAGGCAGTGAGGTCTAGTGGGAAAGAACGTATGAGTAAGAGGGTCTGATGCTGTTCCTGCACAGTCTGTGCCTCCTGTAACCCTTTCCCTCTTTCTGAAGCAATTGCTCGAAAATGTCAAGAGCTTGGTTTTCAGGCGCAGTTTGTTCTAAGTTAGGACTAGAGGCTGGGTGTCCTAACTCTGGTCCAGTGTCTTTCAGGCCATGTGGCCCAGTCTGTGTAAAGATGCTTTCTGTAAGGCATTCTCAAGGTAGCTTTATCTCTCGTCCCTGAGAAGGATAAGGACAGATTTGCTTTCAATATCATTATCTGGTAGAGACTAAAAATTCAGATTTGGTTTCCAGCTTGGCTCAATTATTTATTACTGTGACAACTTGGATAACTTCACTGATGAAAAACCTTACCTGGTAGTTCTGTAGTTGCTGTTATTGTCTATAATCCTGAGTGAGGGGATAGCTTATGCACAAAATGTACATTGTGTTCTTGAGATATTAAGTACATGGGAAAGGAATTGTAAATTTGGTGATACGTAAAATCTACTTCTTCTAGGCTGATGATGTGGGGAGCAGCAGGGCAGGTCTGGCATTTTATGGCTTCTCTTTCCTTTCCAGCTCTGCTTTCTCAGGACACTGCCCCTCCTGGAGAACTTAAAGGAGGAGAACAGAAGAACTTCACATAGCCCTAAAGTCTAGCCATGTCCAAGGTAAGAAGCATTTCTTCTCTCTTCTCTGAAATGGCACCCTATTTTTTAGGTTAAATGCATATTTTGCTTTTCTTCCAAAACTCCCCAACCTAAAAAAAAAAATCTTATGTATTACCTTTCTAAACAGCATGAGATTCCAAACATAAAAACATACTATCCCTGTACCTCTTAATGAAAATATTTCTAACTTTTTTTTTAATGATGAAAACAATAAACCTTAAGTAAAAGGCAGAAACAATCTTATTTGTCCAGTGACTTGCTTCTCACATCTTCCATTCTGGTAAAAAAGGAAGTCTCCCCCAAACCTAAGAGCCTTTTCTTTCCCCACAGCCAGCATTCTCATCTTTATCTAAGAAATAGTTCAGCTACCCCTGTGGGTTCTTGTTTTACTTTTGTACATGGTACTGGGATTTGAACTCAGGGCCTACACCTTGAGCCACTCCACCAGCCCATTTTTTGTGATGAGTTTTTTCAAGATAGGGTCTCAAGAACTATTTTCCTGGGCTGGATTCCAACCTTGATCCTCCTGATCTCTGCCTCCTAAGTAGCTAGGGTTATAGGCATGAGCCACCAGCACCCAGCAAGTTCATGAAGAGGTCTCAAGAAGCAAAAATATACTCCTTGGTGGGATATGAAAGCCTTTATTATGGGGACTTGAGTCATTGAGGTCAAGGTGTACTCAGTTGTAACTGTTAGCACTGAGCTCTTCCATATGCCTGGGTTTGAAAGGAAGGCAAAGCAGAAGGACCATTGGGTAGCAAGGACTCTTGTCCAAGGTGATTGTGAGGTAAGAGATGTTTTGAGTCTTGCATGTTACCGTGTGTGTCCACTAAAGCAGGGTTTTTCTAAGTACCCTGTGAGCTTTGAAGAGTAGGGTTTCATGGGAATAGTAAGTGAGGTCTCATTCTAGAGACATTCTGAGTTAATAGCAGACCAGAGATACTTTATTCTAAGTTAAGATTAGTGGAATTAATATGGAAAAATAAAATTTTTTTGAAAGAGAAAGTAATGGGTAAAGCCCTTGAGTCTGTTATTTTAAAGAAGTACACAAATCTATAACAACAAAAACATTAAATAGTGTGAAATGGGAGCCAGAGGAACAAATGAAAAGATTAGTATGTAATATCTAGAAAAAATGCAAGTATAAAAATTCCAGGTCAGATGCAGTGACTCATGCCTATTATCCTAGGTAGTCAGATGTGGAGATCAGGAAGATTTTAATTTGAGGTCCAGGCCAGTCCAGTCAAAAAGCAAGACCCTATCTCAAAAATAACCAAAGCCAAACGGTACAGTTCAGGTGTAGAGCACCTACCTAGCGAGCATGAAGCCCTGAGTTCAGCTCCCAGTACTGCCAAAAAGAGAAAAAAATTCAATGGAATAGAAAATATTTATCATTCACTAAACATACAGTTATTCCAGACTTACTGAGTGCTGTGGGAAATACAAATAGACATTGTCTTTGTCTTCACAGAATCTCACATCTACTAGTTTGCTTACTAGTGGGGAAAGGATGGCTTATTCATTTAGGAAAAAAACACTTTTCCTCACACTTAGAGATTCTACAGGTTAAATATAAAAACCATTACCTGATAGGTAAATACAGATTAAGGTCTGTGAAGAGGAAGATAAGCCAGATTCAGAAATCTAGAGCAGCAGTATCCAAATGTATTTCCTCACACTGATGATAGAAGTGTTCTGTAATGCGTGGTCCAGTACAGTGCACATGGCTGTGGAGACTGGTATGTGACAGAATGACTGAATTTTTAAATGTTAATTGGTTTAAATTTAAATGGCCACATGGCTAGTAGCATAGATCTGCGCTCATGAAGTGTTAACTCCAAGAGGAAAATATGAGTGCTCTTGTCCAAGTTACTCATTTGTAGGTCCTTACTAGTTGAGCAAGCTTGTGCTTGTGTCTTTTCAGGATTTGGTGACATTTGGAGATGTGTCTATAAATTTCACTCAAGAGGAGTGGGAATGGCTGAACCCTGCTCAGAGGAATTTGTACAGGAAGGTGATGTTGGAGAACTACAGAAGCCTGGTGTCACTGGGTAAGGAGGTCACCCCATAATTCAGAATCTGCACACAATTCAATTTCAGTGAAGTGTTTAGGAAGCCTCCGATGTGCTTCACTAAATGTCTCTGTCTTAAGCCTGGTCTGTAGACCCCATTTGAGCTCAGGCCAGAGGATCGCTTGAGCCCAGGAGTTCAGGCCAGCTTGGGCAACATAGAAAGACCCCATTTCAATTTTTTAAATTGTTTTTCTCTTTCTTGTGTTCCCAAAATAGGTTGAGTTTTGCAGAACTCGTGGCTTCATTCAAGTATTCCTACTTCTTCCTTTATCTTCCCCTTCTTCAGAGCACTTCACCTCTTCCTCTACTCCCTCTTACAGTCCTCCTACCTTCCCGATGACCAAGAAACTTGATATGATTTACAGGAGTGGCTAATTCCTCTTTTATTTCTTATAAGCAGGAATTTCTGTTTATAAGCCAGATGTGATCTCATTATTGGAACAAGGAAAAGAGCCCTGGATATTGAAGAAGGAGGGAACAAGAGGCGTGTGCCATGGTGAGTGCAAGAGAACTAGGGAAGCAGATGCCATTGCCAGGAAAGGCTCCAGCTCATAATCAGTGCTTTCTGGGTAGCTCTTATTCAAGATGCCATTGAGGCATCTTTAGCATGAGCTCCCCACTTTATTATGTATGTATTCTCTCACAAGTCACCATCTTCTCTGATAACCCATTTTCCTGTTCTCTGGGTCCAAAAGTCACAGTATCTGCTTTCCTTGCCTTTTTGTTTTGCATAAGTTAGTTCATTCCATTCTTAAAAAATTTCCAGTTTCTTATTCCTTTTAGACTGAAGAATTAATGCATTTATTTATTTATTCAAGTTTCTGCTTTGAGCACAGCATCCCGCTCAGTCCCACGGGTTATTCAGAGGTTTATAACCTATCAAAGAAAAAAAAAAGCATTTCCAGTCTGTATTCAAATCCAGGAAATTGGAAGGTGACAGCATTAAATAGATCAGGAGAATAGATTGGTGGTGGTGGGGGGTTAGAGGAGAATGGTGGAGGGGTGAATTCAAGTATGATATATTTGATGTATTGTAAGAACTTCTATAAATGCCACAATATACCCCCAGCTCAACAATAAAAAATAAAAAAAGAAAATAGGTTGGTAGGAGGAAATGTTTCACGGGTGGGGACATGAAATTTGTTTTTATGAGATGTGAAGATTACCAAGTGCAGAAATGTATCCTGCGACTGGACTGGGACAGAGGTTCAGAAAGAGTCTGATTCAGAGATGTTGCTGTGATCGATTGATCACCTGGTGAGGAGAGGTTGAGGTGGGAAGCCTGAGGGGAGGCCTTTGCAAACGTTCTCTGCATCCTCTGGTACATTGCCTCACTATGGTGTCTGCCTTTGGTTAAATTTTACATATTTTAATTTTTAATGTAATTATTCTTTTCATTTAGGTTGACAGATTTATTTACATGAATTTGAGCAAAGAGTCTCATAATTCTTTTTATTTCATTTATATCTATAATAATTCCCAATGTTACTATCTTATTTTATATAATTACTATTGTTAAACAAGTTATTAGGTTGCTATCCATAAATCAGTTCTGTGTGTTTTTCATAACCCAGCTTATAGATTTGTGTTATTGTCTTCTCTTTTCCAATTCTATTTTTTTTTTTTCCTTATTAATTTTCCCTTTGATTTTCTCATTTATTTTGTTCTCCATATTGCTGAAATGAGAGGTTAATCTGTTAATTTTTCATTCTTAGTGATTAAATTATTAAGGAGGTGGTTTCATCATATTTTGATCAGATTATCTTATTGTATTTGGTCAGACTGTATTAATATGAAGGAATATTTGTAGACAGTAGACTGCATTCATATAAACTGAGACGTTTCGACAGTCACGTACACCACAAAACCATGAAGACAGGCATTTCATCATCCTTAATGCTGGCTTGTATGTCTTTGCAGTGCATCCTTCTTTCTACCCTTAGTTACAAACCATCACTGATATGGTCCTTGCCATTTTAGATCAGGTTGTATCTAAACTAAATTGGATCCTACAGTATGGCCTACGTTACCCATGGTCTACCTCACTCAGCATGATGGTTTTTAAGTTCGCCCTCATTGCTGCATGTATGAATAGATACCTCCTTTTATTGCTGAGTGGGGTTCCATCAAATAATTTTCGCTATGCATAGACAAACACATTATCCAGTCACCTGCTGATGGACATTTGGTCATTCTGATTTGGGGCTATTATAAAGCTGCTACAAAGCTGTCATGTCCAATAATTTGTGTGGACATATGTTTTCATTTCCTTCGTAAATGCCAAAACTGACTCATGATACTTATGTGTTTAACTTTGTAAGAAGCTCACAGCTTTCCCAAAGGATTGTACTATTCCCTTTAGCAATGCAGGGGTATTTCAATTGCTATAGGTCCTCACCAATCATAGTTTTTAGTTTTTGTTGTTCTAATGGCTGTATTTTGGTTTAATGTGTATTTCTGTGATTAATAGTTGGTCATGCATATATATCTTTCACAAAGTGTTCTTGCAAATGTTTTCTTGGGTTGTCTTCTTACTGAGTTGTAAGAGCTCTACACAGGCTTAAAACAAGTTGTCATTTTTATGTATGTATGTGTATATGCCAACTATGCCTGCCTTTTTGTTTTCCTGCTGCTATCTGAGGAAGAAGCAAGTATTAAATTTTTGTAAGATCCAGTTTAATAATTTGTGTTGGTTGGAGCTTCTTGTGTCCTATCAAGAAATCCTTACTACTGCTAGGTCACAAAGATTTTCTTCTAGTAATTTTAGTTTTTACATTTAGGTCGGTGATCAATTTTGGGTAATTGTTACATCTAGTGTGAAGTAAAGGTTGTGTGGCTCATTCTTTTCTACCATGAATATGCAGTTTCTCTAGTACCTTCCCTTGGGACTTTCCCTTCCCATTGTGTTGCCTTGTTACCTTTGATTTTAAAAATGAGATAAATACTAACGTGTGGGTCTAGTTCTAGACTCTGTTCTGTTTCGTTGATTTATATGTCTGTCTTTTCACCACAACCACACTTTTTTTATTACTGTAGCTTTATACTAAATTTTGATATATAGTGCAACTTATAAAATTGCTTTAACTAGTTTAGATCATTTGCATTTCATGTAAATCTTTAAATGAATTTGAGAATTGCTACTCATAAAACTTGGATTTTGGTTGAGATTATATTTAATCTCTGCATAAGTTGGGGGGAGAATTGACATTTTAACAACACTGATTTTTCTAATCCATAAGTACAGCTCATGGATTTATTACAATTTTCTTTAATGTCTCCTAGGAATATTTTGTAGTATCCAGTGTCGTGGTCTTACATAGTCTTTAAATTTTTTTCTGGGATCTTTTATCATTTTGGTTGATATTATAAATAGAATTCTGTGTTCTAACATTTTACTGCTAGTATACAAAAATGTAAATTGATCTTCATATTAAGTTTATGTCTTAGGAACTTGCTAGATTCATTTGGTAGTAGTTCTAAGTAGTAGTTTGTAGGTTTCTGAGGATTTTTTGCTTAGATAATCATGCCATCTGCAAAGGCAGTTTTATTCTTTCCTTTCTGATCCTTACCTTCTTTTTCATGATATATTGCAACAACTATCACTTCCTGTACAATGTTGCCTAGAGGTGATAAGAATAGATATACCTACATTGTTCTACTGTTTTTTTAATTTTTAATTTGTTGTTCCAGTCTAAGTTGATGTATGCTGTAGATTTTTCTAAGAAATCTTCAATCAGTTTGAAGCAGTTCTTTTCCATTCCTGGTTTCTAAGAATTTTTATAGGAAATGGATCAAATATTCATTCTACTCTATTGAAATGGTCATGTGATTTTTTTCTTCTTTAGCTATTATTTGTTACTCTAGCTATTATTTGTTAATATAGCAAATTGCATAGATGTTTTTCAAATATTAAGCAGTATTACATTCTTAGAATAAGCTCTACTTGGCTAAAGTTATGCTTTTAATATTTCTGTGGATTTGATCTGCTACAGTTTTATTAATGGTTGTACATTTATGTTCTTGTGTTACCATTGGTCTGTGGCTTTACTTTCTTATCGTTTCTTCCTTTGGTTTTGTCATCAAGGCAGTGTTGACTTCATGAAGACAAGTGAGGAAGTATTTTATCTCCTGTTTTCTGAAAGAGCTTGATAGGATGGTATCAGTTCTATAAATCTTGACCATAAGCTTATCACAGTACCCAGTTCTTCTTGAATCAACTTTGATAGGCTATCCCTTTTGAGGGATTTGCACATTTCATCAGTGTCCTCTGTGTACTTGAGTTATTTGTGATGTTCTCTCATCTTTTCATTGTCTGTAGGACTCAGCTCTGGTTGCTGAGTTTTACGATCTTTGTTTCTCTGTCAGTGATCTTTTCAAAGGACCTAGTTTTGGTTGTCTTTTCTCTGTTGATTATTTGTTATTTTTCTACTTAGCTTTTTTGCATCTCCTTTCCTTAGGATTATTTTAGTCTTTTCTGCCTTTTTGAGGTGGCATCTTAGATTATTGACTTATAATCTTTTTGTTTTTGTCTAAAATAATTCTTTTAAAGTTACAGATGTTTTAGCTGTGTCCTTAAATTCTAGTGGATTAGATTACCGATATCAGTTAACTCAAGATATCTTCTGATTTCTCTCGTTATACTCTCTGACCTGTGAACTGTATGGGTACAATATGCTTTAATCCATAGTATTTTGAGTTTATTAGACATCATTTTTTGTTTAATTTAATCCTGTTAATATTAGAGGACAAACTATGATTTCAAGTACTTTTTAAATTTACGGAATTGGCTTAGATCCAGCATTGTGGTCTGTCTTACTGCACATAAATGGAATACATTACTGACAGTTGATTAAGATCACCTAGGATAAAAATAGTCACCTAGTATGATTATGGAATTGCCTGTCTCTTCCTTACATTGTCAGTTCTATATATTTGAGGCTTTGTATCAGTAACACACATTAGTATTATTTACTCTTCTTGGTAGACAGATCGTTTTATCACTATATGTCCCTTCTTTATCTTTAGTAATACTCTGTTTTGAAGTTTATTTTATCTGATATGAACATGTCACTCTAGCTTTGTGCTTACTGTTGTATCTTGCGTCTTTCTCCATTTTTTACTGCTTACTTTTACTGTTTTCTTATTTTTAAGGTGAAATTTCTGTGGACAAACATTGAGTCTTTCCTTTTTTATCTACTATTATACATTCTACCTGCTAAAACTCATGGCTTCAAGTGTTGGGGCACCTGCCTCACAAGCAGCATGAGGCCTGAGTCAAACCCAGTATATAT